ATAAAATGCAGTACATCCAACCTAAAATGCTCCTAACTATAGGGAGCTACAGATTTTTCAAAAGAAGAACATTGATATTGAGGGGTCAGAAAACTAATCACTGTACCACAGTCAACATTATCATAGCACCACTTCATCAATTCATTGCGTACAACAGAATTTAGGTTACACTTTTTCTTAAAAAGGGATTTCATGCAAGATATATGCAACGTGCGAACAGATGTGTGATCAGCCGAAGAACCGAGAAAAAGGTTTAATTATTTAACCTGAATCAACAAATATTTTCATGTTCATCAACTCTCTGACACGAGGATCATGAAAAATGAGAATCCCTTCCAAAATTATAACATCTGAAGGATTAACCTGCAAACACATTATGACCACGTAAATTCTACATGTCCAAAAAAACAAATATGAGCTCAAATTATAATTGAATTCTAGGTAATTAACTAAGGGCTGCGAAAAGACATGTCTACCATTATAAGTTTGGGTAGATTCTATGTCCACCATTTATTAGAAGACGTTAAAAGCTAGGACATTGTTCATATGAACAACTATTATTGAATTCTAGGTACTTAAGAAGGTAAATGATGATCCAAAAATTGGAGTCAGTGTACCATGTTAAAGATAATATTTTGAGGAACCCTTCAACCAATAGGTGCCAAAATCCAAGATATAATAACCATGGGTCCATGTCATATTAACATGCATTTGAACATTGTGAGACCTTACCCTTCTTGCAGCAAAAACTTTACTTTTATAACTCTTGAAATCATAGTTTGGAATATCTACCGCTCGGTCATGCCTCAGGTTCTCCATAGAATCTAATAATTTCTGTGAGTCAAATGCATCTGCCAAAAGGAGCAACATTGCGTCAATAAAATTCAAAGCAAACATAAAGTGGAATCAAATGTGTTGTGCATAAAACATTCTCATCTCCTAAACACCAATTGGTGAAAATATGCTTTTTGGCGTTTGCTCACTAATAATAGTCAAATTATCTCGGAACATATTAAATATTTCAAAATTTAGCAGATTTGCATAATATAAAATGCCTCAAAATTCAGAATAAGACAAACAAACTTCAGGGAGTACCCTTGTTACCAAGACAAAACATAGAAAACACTTGTTGAACATTAGGTTAAGATGAGAACATTCTCACCAGGATGGTCAAAGTTGTATTCATGAACCCTAGCAAGTTCCTCTTCGGTCAGATTGTGATAAAAGGAATCCTGGCACATTGTTCATGTTAAAACTCTAACCAAAACAAGACCAATTGTTTTCAGCGGTGCATAAAAGAATAGTTCAGATGAAAATGTTGAAGAATTTCCTTCTCATATGATATTTGAATGACAACAACCAACCCTCTTTGTTTACTTTGTATGAATAATGATCAGCAAATTCATAATCCACTGATGCAAAACCAATTTAAGACAGGAAGAAACCAAAGCTAATGAACCATTCTCACCCACGTAGCTAGGTCAACAAAAGAACCAATAGACTGAGTATCATAAACTCAATTTTGAAGCGAACTTGAACAGAAAATAAATTCCAGAACAGGAGACAGAGCTTCAATCACTCAACTTTGAAAATTCATGTAGTTTAAAACTTACAGGTTTACTTGGAATATTTTTCTCTACGTAACCCTTAACAAAATCCAGTTTTGTAACTCAAACTTTTTTTTTTACCTGATTAACTAATACTACACGCTGATCATGAAGTTGCTGAATAATCATATCACAGACTGTAGTCTTACCAGATGCTGCTCCTCTAGCAACTCCTAACTCACAAAATAACAGGATGAGTTAGATAAAAATGGAAATCAGAAAGAGAAAAGAAAATTAACTCAATTTATAATTGAAGAAACCAATGTAATAACAAAACTAGTATCAAATAAGTACTAGTTCAGTGCCTGCATGTAGTTTCTGAATTATAATTCAAACAAATTGAAGAAAAGTACATTATACACAAGGAGAATGTCTCAAGCACAGTGAAACTAGAAGATCCATTATTGGTGTGAGTAATAGGTTAACAACTCTTTCTCAAACTTACCAATAACAAAAGGTTGTTTATCCACACTTTCAGCACCCGCTAAGGTTGTAGGCTTCTCAATATTTCTCGACTCCAAACCTTCCATATGGAACCCAGAAAAGTGGACCCCAGACGACGCCTATATCATATCCTCGACTGATCTAGAACACATTCGCTAAGACCTATGCATAAAACTTACAAGTGAGAAAACAAGTGTATGAGACCATAAAAATAAGATGGAAGCTAAATCCAACATTGATGCCGGCTTGACTGAATCTATCCTATTATATTTTTCTTTTCCTTTCAGAAAAGAAGAAAGCATTCGTAGATGTAACAATCCCCTTCACTTCACAGGGAAGCACAGTTCTCTGCTTATTGCCAAATCAAAAGTTTCCCCTTTCCCATTTTACACGTAAGAAGTCACCTTCAATCAAGTTAAACAAACAAAAGATTAAAAAATCATGCACATTCCAGTCCCATTTCATAACATTCATTTGGAAGTAAAATCATGGTGGAAAAGAAGTCCAGTAAAGTTCATCTCTTTGTTACTACAAACAAGAACAACAAATCATGTTTTCAAGGAATTCCAGTCAATCACAAACAGTAAAAAACAAGCACCGCCTTTTTGGTATTGCCACGTGAATCAATCTCTCGTACAACATAATAGAGCAATACCCAAACACCATTTCAAGTGAAAATTACCAAGAAATGAACGGGTTTTGGCTCCCAATTATAACATAATACTCCAATAATGTGAAGCTAAAATCTATCTACTCCCTTGAAAATCACCGATGAAAAGTAAATCTAAAACCTTTGGAAAAAACTAAAAATGCAGGAATAAAAAAAGCAATAACAAAAATCAATTTAACATAGACTTGAGATCAGTTAATGCAGAAAAAAATGGGGATTATTGAATTAAATTACCTGATTTAATGGACTACTGAGAGAGAGAGAGAGAGCGAGAGAACCAATTTCATTACCTTTTTAGTACTTTTATATAATATATTTAAATTAATAATTAAAAATTACTATTTATATACATCCAAATATCCAACACAAAATTATTGTTTTTCAAACATTCTATATGATTATTTATTAAATATTTTTATGAATATATTATTTTTCATAAACTGTTTTTTAACATTTGAAATAAAGAAGGTATCACGATAAAATTAGTCTCAGACCTTTGCACAAATAATTATTTTGTATGTTATTTTTTTTTAGAATATTTTAATCTTAACGTTTTAATTTTTATCAAAATAACTCTTATTAGATTAAAACTGTTAATTGATTAACGTTCAATACATGTTGTTGACATAATATTTTTACATATGTATCATTAGTGTCGTAACACATATCAAGTCATCACTTTAATGATATGACACGTGTTATATCATCATTTTAAGTGACGTGACACATACTACATCATCACGCATATTTGAAAATGTTATGTCAACAATATATGTTAAATGTTTGTTAACTAACGGTTTCAACTTAACAAGAGTTATCTTGATCAAAAATCAAAATGTTGGAGGCTATAATGTTTCAAAAAAAATATGAAGTAAAATGATATTTGTACAACTTTGGGGACTAATTTTATTATTATGCCAATAAAAAATATGACTTAATTTTATCATTATGCCCAACAAAAAAGAATATAAGACAAAATTTTAAGATTATTGAGATATCATATATTCATAGTCTTCACGAGCTCTACATATAAAGTATATTATTATTCTTCGCATCTGTAGAATTAGACAAAGTCAAATCATGTTAAATATCGCATTTTATGTGTAATTTTTTCTATGTTGATATGACTTTGTTATTTTTCGATTATAAATTCCCAATAAATGATATCAAAGTTATGAATTAAATTATGAAATTTTAAAATAATTTGTTGCCGCGGATTTTGTTAACGATGTTATAAATATGTAAAAAGAGTTTTGATGCAATCAATTTTCAGTTGCAATGAAACAATTCTCAATCGGTTTATAATTGTATTTCAACAAATATTACTTAATAATTGAAATTGTTGAAGACTTAACGGAATAACTTCAGTGTATATTTAATTTACGTAAAATTAAATTTATTGAAAATTTTTAATAGAATTTACATAAAACATTGTTAAATTTCATAAAATACATATACTGAGTTTTGGCACACTACTTTCCAAGGAATTACAACCATGAACAAAGATATAATCATATACAAGTTAAGATCTGTTTCCTGATTTCCGAGTTTAGGCACACTACTTTTCAAGGAAGTATCACTAATCCGATGATGCCTGAATTCCGAAGGAACCGATCTCCTTGCGGAAAATTTCTGGTTTTGCCTTGATGTTTTTTCTTTAATCAGATTTTCTCTTCTTCTCTCAGGTTCAGAGGCATTCCTGCCTGAGAAAACGCCATTTTCGCCCCCACAGAATATCCAACCAGGAACAAAACGAATAGAAGAGAAAAAAGGAGAAGAATCCAGCAAAGTAGTAGGCCATTGGTTGCATGGAGCCTATGAAAATTTATCTATAAACGGATAACTGACAACTACCCTTGAACCCTAGGGTATCTTAAAACCTAAATAATATATCTATATAGCAATTATTAAAGTCTGTCATGTATATTAAATAACAAAATCCAAGTCATCATCAAGTCGTTTCCATTGGAAGATTAGTGGTTTTAATCGTTAATGTTGGTTCCCGTTAACCATTTATTCTTCAGTGACTGTCAGCTTCTGGTTGTTCTAGATTGCTAGTGTTATTACAGGAAACATATTGGTTCGAGAATTTTGGAGCTACCATTTCTATAAATGTCATTATTGGTGTAAAGCAATGGACATTGCAACTAATGGTGGATGGTCCGGTCCCTGTACCGTCCACCATCTACTACTACTAACATAATTTCTTTCAAATCCATATATGATCACATTCTTCATCTTCGTCTTCATCTCTTAGTTTTCTTTGATTTGATAACACCATGGAAACGGCCTGGATTGAAGGGAAAGTTTTGACCCTTGATGAAAGTGAGGCAGGAGAGTTAGATGGAAGAAGGTTAGCTCTGGTGGGGAAAATCATAGCAGACAAACCACTTAGCAAAGGAGGAGTTCAAGGTGTTTTCAGAAGAGTGTGGGGAGAATGGAGAGAACTCACCATTACCGAACTATCCGAGAACACCTACTTGTTCACCTTCAAAGAAGCAAGAGCAGCTGAGCAGATCTTGGAGGAAGGGCCATGGTCAGTGATGGGCTATTGCATATGTCTGCACCGATGGCAACCGGGGCTTACTCTCGAAGAGCTTGATTTTTCACAAGTGGCTTACTGGGTACAGGTCCATGGCCTGTCATTGGACCAAATGAGCCCCAAGAATGCGAAAAAGGTCGGTGATCAGATTGGCAGGGTGTTGGAGATTGAGGATCCCATTTCTTCACATGGAATAAGAAGGGGTTTCTTCAGGATTCGGGTACTAATAGATGTTAGTAAGCCACTCCCTTCAGGGTTTTGGGCATCCAGGGCTGGAAAATCTAATATATGGGTCTCTTTCAAGTATGAGCATTTAGAATATTTCTGCTACAGATGTGGCTGCGTTGGCCATGTAGATGCTCACTGTGTCAAGGACACTGTGATGTCCATTCCAGATCCTTCGTTGCCGAAATATGGTCCATGGATGCGTGCCAATCCTAGTGTCAGTTCCATGAAGGCCTTAGCTGATATGGAAAAAGCCCCTCATAAAGCCAAGCAAGTCATGGGTAGGGTCCCCTTTCTTTCTATTGGCTCTAAAATAGTTCTTCTGTTTCTATAGGAACTGTACCAACCGGTCGAGGTTGTAGCTAAAGTGTTCCTAGAACAACTTGGACTGAAACATGTACTTTCAACCAACCAGTTAGATTTTTTTATGAAAAATGTATCTAAATTATTGCTTTGTGTTGATCAGCTTCAAGGAGGTACCAAGCAGCTGAGTGGCTAAGGCAGATGGATCAAGTTGCATTAGAGTTCCTGCCCAAAGACCCCACTGGCGAAGAATTTCGCCGTGCACTTTACAACGGGTACATTCTTTGCAACGTTCTCAACAAAGTCAGTGCTGGCGCTGTTCCTAAGGTACACTGTGCATGAAATAGTAGTATCATTTCTCCCTTGAACTTGGTATCAGAACCTGAAGAGTAATTCTTTGATCTTTTTGAAAATACAATACATGTAGGTGGTGAAAACTTCTATGACTACTTCTGATCATTTAACGGAAGAGGTTGCGAATCAGGTTTCCGAAAACATGAGGAACTTTCTAGCAGCAGTTAAAGATAAGCAGCTCCTGTCCTTCGAAGTATCAGATATGGAAAAGGTTTCCATTTTTTACATAAAATGTTGCAGTTTACCTGTAATTCACATTTACACCAGAGCTGTAAACCTTAATTAAATGTACAGGGTGGTTCAATAAATAAAGTGGTGGATTGCATTCTGTGTCTGAAATGATATCATGAATGGAAGAAAGCAGGTGGAGTTGGGGATTGGAAGTATGGTGGAACCGTAAAGATCAAATCCTCCGGGAACGATTTATCGCACTCCTTAACTGGCTCTGCAATCGAAAGACATGCAGATGAAACCGGGGAAGAATTGGAATTGTCGAAATATGAGCAGCTACTAGACTTTATCCAGCTCTCCAACGAGGCCTCCATTGAAGAATCCAAAACAACCAATGCTCTAACTTTCCTTTTCGATCGCTTCGGCCTTTGGATTCTCGAGGCTTATCTTACAGATTACCACATGGAAAAAGAGTTTCCCTTGAATGCAATGGTAGGTAAGATCCATCATTTTTTCACTTCACATTTCCTAATAGCAAGTAGCAATAAGCTTCTGCTCTTGTTGTATGTGATTCCATATGATGATATGTATGACTCACCAAGTCTTTTGTAGGTGATTGATTCCTTCCTCAGCAAGGTAGTTAATGATTTCTCGACGCTTCTAGTTTCTCAAGGAATCAAGGTCGGCATCGTATTCTTACTTTTCGAGCATAAGATTAATTACAATGCTGATTTTATGTGAGGATATTGATAACTTTACATTATTTACAGCTTGGATTGTTCTTGAAGAAATTGCTGAAAGCTGATGATGGTCCAGTGTCTAAATCTGATTTCATAGAAGCTACCTCAGAGTATATAGACAAAAGAAGCAACCTGCAGGCAGCAGCTGATGTCTCCAAAGCTCTAATCTGTATTGGCAACAATGAGGTTATTCTCAATAGTGTTTCTTGCTCTCCTGGCCGTGTCGAAATACTTTCCGATCTTATACAGAGACATATCGAGGTGAAAAGTTCCCTCCAAACTACATAATTTTTATACAGAATTGCAAGATGGTACCAGTTTTAGTTTATAACTCCTGCAGCTTCCTTTTGTGGAAAATTTTAGGATCTTAAATTATTTTTCAGCGAAACACGATTAGAAGTTGGAAGGTTTCATTCATCTTGGGAGGCAAACATTAAAAGATTAGGTAAGGGTTTCCAAGCTTGTCACCATTAAACTACACCTGCAATCAAAACAGTACATTTTCCATTGACTGGAATTACCTTGTCCTGTTACCTTAGAGCATCATGTCAGTGATCTCGAAGTGGCATCTTCTTCTTACCTCAAGATCCTGCAAGAAAATCAAATGCTGTTCAATGAAGTATTAGACCTCAAAGGTGCATAGTCTATATTATTGGTATTAAAAGCTAAATCGGAATACTGTAGAGAGCCGGTGCACTTATTTTTCATGCTTTTTTCAAGCAGGAAAAATAAGAATATACTGTAGAGTAAGGCCCTTGTTACCAGGAGAACCGAAAGATCAATCGACCGTGGACTATATCGGAGAAAACGGAAGTATCCTCATTGTCAATTCTTTAAGAAAAGGAAAAGATTCGAAAAAAGTATTCTCATTTGACAAAGTGTTTGGACCAAGTTCTTCTCAAGATATTTTCTCGATTTTCTTATTCCAGATGTCGATTTAACGTGAACAATCTATTCCATGGATGTCAGAGTATAAAAGGTTTCCTCTCTTGAGCTAAAGGCGATCATTCATGTTCTTCTGCTATATGTGCAGAACAAGTCTACACAAACATTCAACCATTGATCAGGTCCATACTTGATGGTTATAACGTATGCATCTTCGCATATGGCCAAACTGGATCAGGCAAGACATACACCATGGTAAATTGAATGCCTTTTGTTGATATTAATGTCTGCATATTGCTTGGATAGATGTATATACATAAACATGTTACCAATCTTTCTGTGTATTTGATAGAGCGGGTATGATTTGAACACGAAAGAGACATGGGGTGTGAACTTTCGAGCTATATGCGGCTTATTTCAAATATCGAAGACAAGAGCAGAGGTCATAGAATACAAACTTGGGGTCCAAATGGTTGAAATCTACAATGAACAAGTGAGAGATTTGCTAGTTATTGATGGCTCTACTAAAAGATATCCTTTTGAATTTTGTTTCCTATCCCCTTTAGATTTGGATTTTGTTTTCCCTTCAGGCTAAAGTTACCTTAACTACTTGTTACATTAGATATATTTAACAATACACAATTGAATGGCCTTACTGTTCCTGATGCAAGTTGGGTTCCGGTTTCTAGTACTCAAGATGTTCTTGACCTGATAAGAATCGGCCAAAAGAACCGTATTGTAGGTCCAACCGCATTTAACGAGCGAAGCAGCCGTTCTCATAGGTAGAATTTTATCCAGGAAAATTGTGTTAATCATGTTGAATACGTTTGTTAAGCATGGTTTATGTCTACATCCTTCTTTTCGACAGCATTTTGACCGTTCACGTTCACGGAAAAGAACTGGTTTCCGGGTCAATTTTCAAAGGCTCCCTCAATTTGGTGGACTTGGCCGGAAGTGAGAGAGTTGATAAATCGAAAGTTCAAGGCGACAGGCTGAAGGAAGCTCAATATATAAACAGATCACTCTCTGCACTAGGAGATGTCATCTCAGCTCTTGCCCAGAAGAGCACACATATTCCTTATAGAAACAGCAAGCTTACACAAATATTGCAGAATTCTTTAGGTGCATTGTTCTTTTATGGCATTCAACTTTCTTCTCCTTATTGTCTTCGTTTTCTCGTCTCGTTTCTTCGACATTTTGATTTTGTATATGATAGGTGGGCATGCTAAGACTTTAATGCTTGTACACATAAGTCCTGAACCCAAAGCCATCGGGGAGACGATGAGCACGTTGAAGTTTGCCGAGAGAGTTGCTTCGATAGAACTCGGGGCAGCTAGATCAAACAAAGAAACCGGTGACATACTGGAACTAAAAGAAGAGGTCAAGTTTCCTTTTCTTTTAATGGATGACATTCCTTTGGCTTGTTTCCAAATCCAAATGCAACAAATCTTTGTTAAGTATTTCTTCCATCTATCTTAGATAACAAGCCTTAAGCTGGCAATGGAGAAGAAAGAAGCTGAAGTAGAACAATTAAGGAGCATTACACCATCTCAAAAGACGAAAGTGCTTAGATTTGGAATCTCTCCCAAGCCTGAAGCATACCAACGGCTTAATGATGATGCTAAAAGCTCTGAGGTAACCGAAACACGATACCGTATGAAGCTGAAGCATTCGTAGATGTTAATGCTAGTGCTGATGTCTTGTCTTTATATGTGATTTCCAGGCCAGAACTGCTTCTTCTGCCAAGCAAAGGAGGCCGAAGTTTACGTCTGCACTCGCAGGGAAGGAGATATCAGCAAAGGTGCCAGAAGAGAGAGCGGCACGTCCCGGAAAGCCAAGGTCACCTACAGCTCCTGTGAGGAGATATTTGTCTGGTGATAAAGGAGCCTTGACTAGAAATAAGGTGAAGTTTGATGTAGTTGAGAACCAACCGATTTCGAAGGCAGTGCTTCCGGCTAAAGCACATGGCACTAAGTCGCTTGCCCAGGTGCCGGAGATCACATCGACGGATAACAACTCCGGGGTCCATGCAGACCATAAGAGTGATGAAAGTAAATTGAATTCTCTGATGCATTCAACAGCCTCGTCTCTAGGGAAGGTCAGTCAGAACTTGAAGAAGAGCAGTTTCTTTTAGTGTGGTTGTTACATGCTTGAAAGTCATGTAGGATTATAAATGTTTGTGATGGTAAGTGTCTCACTAGTTATGGAACACAACTGGTCCAATAATCCCCCGCATCTATATTCTGTAGCAAACAATCCATGCACATGTCCATGCCATGTACCCTAAAACAAATGCATGGTGGTGGAGTCGACTCCACTTCTTTTTACAATATCCACTTGCATGGATGACTGCCCAATAATACCACATCTAGGTCAAGGCCAAATCGTTGTCGCTAATCACACTATTCCCGGCCTAATCTTTCCCTAATTTCAGGATTTGGTCCTTACATATCATCTCTCTTTTATTATTTTTATATCTTATCATTTATTTAGGGTAAATTACAAGTTTCATCACTAACTTTCTTTTCACTCTTATTTTGGCCGTTAAAGTTTTAAAATTTTCAATTGAAATCCATATGTCATACAAGTTATTTTCCCTTTTATTCCTTTTATTTTATTGTCTTGTCTTCCTCCAAAGATGAAAGTTTTACCGTTTCATCCTTGTTTCATGTCGGCGTTGCAATTACCATTCTCGACTTCTTTTCCGACCACTCAAGATATCCATGAGCTTTCCTCATTGTCTCCTATCATTTTAGTAGTTTAGATTTTACCTAAAATCATTTAAAACTCATAAAATTCAACCATAAACCAAACACTCATGAAACCTAAAATCACTCTATCAACGAATCAAGATATACAAATCGTTTTCACCTTCTTTACGTTATTACTCTCGGGATTTGGAAGAAGTTGCTCCATCATCAAGAAATCAAGGAATTCGAAAGTATAGGTTTTTCATAAGAAAATAAAGAAAGTTTTGGAGTCGTTTCATAATTTTTAAAAGAAAAATATCCAATCATAACACCATTAAGCATCTAATGGTGGGTGATCAGAATAGAATTAAATTGAAAGTTTAGTGAATAAGTTTAAAATTCTTAAACTTTAATGACCAAAATAAGAACGGGAAGAAAGCTGAGTGATAAGATTTTGAATTTATCCTTTTATTTATGATATCGTATCTTGGCAATTATGAAGCCATTTAATATATATATCCTAATGATTGATAAATGATATCCTATCATATCAACTGGTTATACATATTCCAGAATATGCCAGGGAAGCTACTACTTACACATCCATCCAGGGTGGACCAGAGGTGTTGGGGTATAATCATATCTCTTAGAAATTTTAAATTCTCTTATATTTTAAGATTTTTTTTTGTTATTTCTTATTGATTATCTAATTTTCTATCCCCAAAAATTTTATAATCTTGCAATCCCTAAAACTTTTAATATAATTTTTTAAGTTCGTATCCATAACATAAATTTCTACGTCTGTCATTGATCAATGAGCTATGACATTTGACAAGTACGAGATCAGATTCAGATATATCCACATCCATGTTCACAAATGGTTGGAAGCATACATGGTCATGGATCATCCAACATTGCTAATTTTACTACCATCACCTAAACCTCAAGGACTAATCAAAGGATGAATCAAATCATTAGCTCTCCAAATACCACTCAAAGGATGCTCAATCCATGGCATTCTGCACTCTGTTTCCTCTGGACATTTATGGTAGAGTTTCGAACGACTGCAAGACCCTTGGGCACATCATTTCAACTCATAAACCGGCACCGGATTCTCGTTCTACATAAATCTCATAATGCACTTCATGTAAGTAATGGTGTTGGGTATTTATTTTGTTTATTGGATTGCTCTCACTTTAATTCTCTTGGTATATCAAATCAGTATGTTTTCAGTTGTCAATGGCTTGAAAACAAAGCAAGTAATGGTGGATCCATGTGTTGCTTTCATAAATGTGTAAATCCATTGGCTGCAGCAATCAGAAAAGCTTGTGCTTCTGCTAAGAAAGGCTTTAGCAGCATGAGATTGGTAAATGAAATCTTCATGTATATGCATATGTAGTAATGCATGGCTTATAATGTTTTGATATCTCATAATCTAATACATGTATTGGGAGGCTCAAGGAGCACCAGAAATATACCAAGAAAATGAAAAACAATTGCAGTGCAAACTTTCATAATATCTTCAGGAGCTGGACCTCAAAGATCAGAGGTTCTTTGGCATGGGATCTGAGGCTACGTCGAGGACCAAACTGCAATCAACGTCAACAAATGTCTCGGAACAGGGCACCATTTGATCTCTGACACCAGGAAAAAGCCTAACAACATCAAGCTCTATGTCAGGCGTATCTTTATCATGGACAATTGTGAAGAGCTATTCCCTGGATTCCTTGGCTTCGTAAAGGGTATTATCGATTCGGAGGACCTTCCTCTCAACATCTCTAGAGAAATGTTGCAGCAGAACAAGATCTTGAAGGTTATTCGCAAGAACTTGGTGAAGAAGTGCATCGAGCTCTTCTTTGAAATTGCTGAGAACAAAGAGGATTACAACAAGTTTTACGAGGCCTTCTCCAAGAACCTCAAGCTCGGTGTCCACGAGGACTTTCAAAACCGAAACAAGATTGCCGAATTGCTCCGCTACCATTCCACCAAGAGTGGTGATGAGATGACCAGCCTGAAGGACTATGTGACCAGAATGAAGGAGGGTCAGAATGACATCTATTACATCACCGGTGAAAGGCCGTTGAGAACTCTCCATTCCTTGAGAAGCTGAAGAAGAAGGGTTATGAGGTTCTCTTCATGGTTGATGCTATCGACAAGTATGCTGTTGGTCAGCTCAAGGAATTCGAGGGCAAAAAGCTCGTGTCGGCGACCAAAGAAGGTCTGAAGCTTGATGAGAAGAAAAAGAAGGAAGCTTTGAAGGAAAAGTTCGATGTCTCTTCAAGGTTATCAAGGATGTATTGGGTGACAAGGTAGAGAAGGCTGTGGTATCCGTCCGTTGGTTGATTCTCTTTGCTGTTTGGTGACCGGTGAGTATGGTTGGACTGCTAACATGGAAAGAATCATCAAGGCTCAGGCTTTGAAAGATAACAGCATGGCTGGATACATGTCGAGCAAGAAGACCATGGAGATCAACCCCGAGAATCCCATCATGGAAGAGCTGAGAAAAAGAGCTGATTCCGACAAGAACGACAAGTCGGTGAAGGACCTCGTTCTGCTGCTATTTGAGACCGCTCTCCTCACCTCTGGCTTCAGCCTTGATGACCCCAACACCTTTGGCAACAGAATCCACAGGATGTTGAAACTTGGTTTGAGCATCGATGGGGATGATGCGGATGCCGATGCTGATATGCCACCATTGGAAGATGCAGATGCCGAGGGCAGTAAGATGGAGGAAGTTGATTAAATTGTTTTGATCTGAACATTTGTTGGTATGATTTTATTGTGAAAGTTTTACGTTCCTTCAAGAGTTTTTAGTGATTTCATGGGGCTTGGTGTTTTACATGTTACATATAACATGCACGTACTGCTTTCAACCCAGATATAAACATCCCACAATTTTATGATAATTATTAAAAAAAATCAAATTTTAAAAAATTCATTGACAGTTTTATCGATTTAGCTCCATATCATTATGAAAAAATATAAATATAAAATTACCAAAAAAATCAGTTTATAATCATTTACGTTCTCCCTCCATGCATTTCTTTAAAGCATTTATCCATAATATTTTCTTTGTTTATTTCATTATAAATACAAACTATATTTACTTTTAATTGTAAAATTTTATATTATGTTTATTTAATGATCGGAGATTAAATTGATTAAAAATTATACCAAGACGAGTGAAAAACCTTTAACACATATTTTTTATATTTCTAACAACTTATAGTAAAAGGCATTTAATTATTTTAAATCTTCATAAAAACATAAAATAAAATCAAAGTACACGGTTGTTTCCATAGACGAGGAGAATTCTGCAACGGAAGGCACCATTGCGAATATAAATGATAAAACTGTGAAGTCTAAGCAAAAGAAGAAGGTTTTGATAGAAGAAGCTGAGAAGTATCGAGGAATATTAAAGAAATGCAAATTGTGAAAACTTAAAAGACTGATTGTTTCTTGTACAAGTATCACCTCAGCTGCAACATTAAGGTAAAAATAATCCAACTAAAGCTTCAGCTGATCTATCTCGAGCTTGCGATGATAAACGTGTCGGTATTCTTGGCGTTAGCCGTGTTAGTTGCATGTTCTGCATCAAACGCACATCTGCAAGCACAGTTCTAATTCTTCATTTGTTGAATTCATTCAATATGTTGCAAACAGAACGAGGATTTTTTTTAGTCTTGCCATATGTTACGGCATTGCTATTTTCCGGTAACAAACTCGGAATCTGATAGCATTGTTTAGTGCTAGGAAAAAGAAATTTAAACCAATGAACCAAAACATCACAGACTCGCTCTTAAACCAATGAACCAAAGCTTGAATCCAATTGCTGATTTCAGGTATCATCAACTTGTGAGTGGAAAACAAAGCTTGGGAATGTTGTGGTGATGTCCCTGCTCAAGGAAACAAACAAGAACAGTTCAAAGTGAGAACATATCACGGGTAGCGAGTATTTTATGGGTCATCGACTGCCAGTGGTGTTCCGTGTTAGAGAGTATGTGAAACTCACTTAAGATACTGCAGGGTCATGTTTTTTAGAAGGGATGGATGTCGCAAAACGAGGCTTCTCCACTCTTCCTTGTCAATCCTCCCATCGTGTTTTGTATCAGCTTCATCAAAGGTCTGTTGCAAAGCTCCAAAACTTAACATGTAGAAACAAGATAATAAAAAACACGAGATACAACTTCAATTAAATCATATTGGGTGATCACCTTGTCAATTATACTTTCTATAACATCATCAGAAAGGTTCATGCCAGATTCAGTAAGCGTTGCAACTACCATTTGCTTTACCTGTACACAATATATATATATATATATGAACTTATGAAAGAAGGATGGAAGAAATGTAAAATACATATATTCAACATTGAAAAGAATGATATTTACCTCCTGTCTCTCGATAAAACCCTGCTGCTTGAGATAGTACAGTTGAAAAGAGACTGAAAAAGTGCATAAAAAATCATGATAGAAAAAGTATCCGCGGATAATTCAAACATGAATCATTGTCTACGTGCTTAAGTTCATAATTTCATTTCCATACCAGTCATTTACATCTGACCACTATGTTAACATGATTACAGCTTACAGCAAGAGAAGTAAATAGAGATCTTGATAAAGACAAATGTTTAACACATACACTCAATCTTATCATCAACGGGTGCATTAGGATGGAAGACAGAGAGAGCACGAGCGAACTCTTCGAAACCTAGAATTCCATTATGCTTTGTATCAAACAAGTCAAATACCTGCAGTGAAATCAGAAGTATATTGACAGTAGCTCAAGCAGTATACTAATAACTTAAAATCTTGACATGATGAGATTACCAAGCATAATTCTATCAAAAACGAAGTTAATATTATTAATTAAGGTTAGATAAAATACCCGATCAGCAAACAAACTCTCTTTTTTGTTTGTTTTGAATAGCGCAAATTGAAACTTCTCCTGCCAAGTAGTAACATAAAATAAAACAAAAATACTATACAGATGAGCGGTGAAGAACCAACTCGAGATAGGAGTGATCAACAAGGCCAAAAACTCGACAAACAGAATAATACATGAACTAGGAAAAAATAAATAAAAAATAAAAAAGACCTTGTTAATCAGCCCATCATCTATAACAACACTGCTTATCTTCTTGAAAAGCTCGTAAAGTGCTTCTATTTCGCTCACACTAACTGCATCAGGATGAGAAAAGTAGGAAATTTTAGTAGAACTCAATAGCTAAGATAACACAGGCGAAGTCCGAACGAATGTTAATTCATGCAAAAGTGTAAACACTATTGCACAAGCAATATAGAAAGCTTAATACTATAATTTAAAAAGAAAAGAAGAATGATAACATACAAACTGTCTCTCGTGCAAGAAGTTCGGGATCAACAAGACCTCTTGATTGTTTGTTTGAATCAATATCACAGCATTGCAGCACAGAAGCACATATATGCTTCAATCCGTCCATGCACTGCAACATGGTATTCTCCTCGCATCAAAACACTCCATACCTAGACAACAGCAAAAGTGGCCAGAATTCCCATTCATGACTTCTATCTATACACACAATGGGTCTAAAGGCAAACAACAGGAAATACCTTTTAACCATTTCCTGTTTCTGCAGGCTGAAGACTGAATGCCCGAGTCCGAATTAGATAAACTCGTACACTTGGAGACCCCAAACTCAGAGTCAAATCATTACCTGTCTTACAAAATCAAACCGATATTCACCAAACACAATCAGGCAGCGAAGCATACAGCAATGTTTATGAATCATGAAACACAAAGCAGAGGGGAAAAAATGAGTGATCCTACCAACAAAGAATTAGTCATTCCATTCCGTAAATCACCAATTTTGTTAACACTCCTGTATCAAGACTCTAATCATTTCCTACAATTGAAGTATATAGCACAGATATTCTAATAAACAGTATTCGTTCAAATTCCAATACCCATCAGTCATACACATCAAAAAGTCCCAATTCAAACAAAAAATCATGCCTTCAATTCAAATAGAACCTCAGGATCCAATCTAACCAATTCCACAAAATAATTCTTTTAAAAAAATCTACGAACAAAGCGAATTGCCAAATAGAATATCAATAGATCTATTGAAGCTTAGAAGTTTATTAAAGCTACCTACTTTAAGCTGTCGGAGATTCAAAAAAGGTGTTTTCTATTTAATTTTAGGGGGAACAGAGCAAAAAAAAAACGAATAGATGAAAACAAAATATTATAACCTTTTCTATGAGGAGAGTGCTTAAGTTATTATAGAAAATCTGTGAAATCGGCGGTGAATTTAAGTGAAGATGGTTATAGATGTGGAACTGAAAAGGAGGTCGAGATTTCAATAATTTGCAGGCATGGAAAATAATAATTTCGGGTAAACTACACATTTAGTACCTAAACTATAACTTTATTATGTTTTGGTCACCTAACTATTATTTTTTCAAAATCATACATAAAGTTACGTTTTGATAAAAAGTCTTCAATCTGCTGGACCTCATGTATCATTTGACGAACAAGTTCTCTCCAAATGGATGAAACCACCATCTGGATTCCAAAAAATAAACGTTAATGCTGCTTGCTCCACGTCCATGGACGATGTTGTGTTTTGTGTTGTGGCTCGTGATGAAACCAGCTTGGTGGTTGCCGGTTACACACGAATTGTATCCGCCTATGGTGATTTTATAATTGTCGAAAGCCCGCGCTTTCACGATTAGCATTCATCTTATTATTGATCTTCATTGTCTGTAGGTTATCATCAAGAGTGATGCATCCATTTTAGTTATCCAATTACTACATCGTCGGATTGATTTATCGATGGTTAGTTATCATCTTATAGATGATTTTTGGAAGCCAATCCTTATATTTAGGTACACTACATGCGGTGAATTATATACATGAAAACGATTGAAAAACTACTGGATTTTCGGCGAAATCCAGTATCAGTAGTGAAAATCTGTTAGTCCTCGTTTTTCTTGCTTATTAGAATCTGTTCTTTGCGTTCTCTGATTGAATCTAATGGGATTTATATTTTTCATATATTCTCTAAGCCTACTTCTCTTTTATCACTTTTGGTACTAATTAATTGCGTTTCATTAATGTAGTTTGAATCCGATGGTTTTAATTGCATTAATAGTTGAAGATAGAAATGTCACTAATATTCAATATTATGTAGTGCTGATGTTCATACTCATAATAATATTATTACGAGTGAAGTTAACACTTACAATGAACACAAATACTTGCTTTAGATTTCATAATGAAAGTAAATTATACATGATAAAACTATACGAGGCTAAAGGAAAAAGGAAATCTGGTATTGCTGAAAGGGCAATTATTTAGTGCATTATTCTTGGAATTTTTCTTTTTCACAAGTATTTTTATCGTAAATGATCAAATACCTGATGGTGGGTAGTAAGGAATGGGAATCAGGTAGAGATCTCTTTCTCTTTTAGTTGTCACACCAAAGGCTTCAGCCATGTCTAAATCCTCATTTTTCAGTCCATTAGGGAGTTTCCAATCAAAATGGTACAGTAATTGAGCAAGGGATAGCTCAACAACAGCCATACCATATGACATGCCTGGACATATCCTCCTTCCTGCACCAAACGGAATATATTCCAAGTTTGCCCCTTTATAGTCGACTGAACTATCGATGAATCTCTCCGGATCGAACTTATCTGCTTCGTTCCAGTAGTTGGAATCTCTTCCGATTGCCCATGCATTAACAATCACTTTGGTCTTGGCTGGTATCTCATATCCATTAATCTTACATCTCTCAGTATTTTCTCTCGGAAGTAGCAAAGGTAAAGGAGGGTGTAATCTTAGAGTTTCCTTGATGATTAATTTCAAGTATTTCAGTTCATGAAGGTCTGATTCATTGACATCTCCTGTTCTTTCATAGACTCGCCTCACCTCGGCTTGTGCTTTCTTCAGGACACTAGGATTTTTCATCATTTCCGACATCGCCCATTCTGCTGTAGTCGAAGATGTCTCCGTTCCGGCTGCAATCATGTCCTGAAAAGCAGTTCTACTATTAAGTACATACACACATAAACACACAAGATTAAGAACTTACCAGGGTAACAGCTTTGATGTTGTCAGTTGTCAAGAGAAATTCAAGGCCTCCTTGATCCTGAAGATTCAAAAGAACATCAACAAGATCATCACAGTTCTTTGGATTTTCACAGCTACCTCTATGTTCTTCAATGACGCTTTCCATCATTGCGTCTAAATCACGGTGCATCCTCTTGATTTCGGCTCTCATCCCACTGATCACAGGAAGCAATTTGATGGAAGGAAATAGATCGGTAATACTAAAACCAGCTGCAAGTTCCACTGCTTTCCTCAGAATTGAAAGGTATGTTTCATGTTGCTTGCATCTTCCGCCAACAGTAGTCCTTAAAGTTATATTATATGATAAGTTGCATAACAGTTCTCCCAGGTTGATTTCTGATCCTGCACTAGAAAAGATGGACGTAACCAAACTTGATACCTGCTCTTCTCTAATTGATCGGAATGATTGTACACGTTTCATACTAAGCAGCTCCAACGTGCAAACTTTTCGAAGCTGCCTCCAACAACCTCCATACGGTGCAAAACCAATATCTGAAAAATTATACGTCATGATTTCTGTAGCAAGGAGAAAGGGCCTGTTAGCGAAATTGATATCATGTGTTTTCATCACTTCTTTAGCAGCCTCCGGAGAAGAAACAACAACGTGTGATAATTCACCAAGTTGAAGGTGCATCACGGGGCCATGTTTTTTGGCTAATTTGGTGAAGCGGTGATGGGGAATAGAGAAAAGTAGGAGGTGCAAATGCCCTATGATAGGTAGTTTCCATGGTGCAGGGGGTAGATTTTTGGGAGAGTCCTTTATTTTGGATCTCATCCATAGCTTAAACACCATGAAAATGAACACAAGCAAGGTGAAGAACAGTGGAAGAAACTTGGATTGGTTATCCATGGTCAAAACTATTCAAAGACTAGATGAAAAGGTGATGATCAAATAGCATTTTTCTTCTGAATTTATAGGTAAAATTATGTGGATTGGATTCTTACTATTGTCCTTGATACCCGCCCGTCGCATATTTTAATTAGAGTAACTTGAGGCTATTTATGACACAAACACACCCACATACATAATTAAGTGTATTAAATATTATTACTTTACTTCCATCCAACCATATTTTAATTTTCGTCCTACCTAAAATATTAAGTTGTTAATAATATTTTCGTTCGCATCTAATTTCTATCGTTCTTTTAACATTACATTAACAAATTATATATTGTATTTAATAAAAAAAAACGAGTGCCGAATTATGTACAACTTATACCCTGCCTACTCTTCAAATAACTTATCCCCTGCCTACAATTTGTTAGGCGACATCATTCCGAACTTCTTGATTAATGGCTTTAATTTAGTCATTCAGAAAACATTAGCTGATTAGGGCATTATATAGGTTTTTAAATCCAAATATCAATATTTAAAATTTTCTTTTTAAAACTGATACACATTCGAAATTAATTTTTGGAATAACATTATTTTCTAACGCATAAAATAAAGGCACACTCAATCAGTCTTTTGATTGGGGTTGATTGACACACTTATAAAATTAAGAAAAGCACTTCCTAAAGTGAAGAAAGAGGTATTTGTATCTGCTGCAATGATTATTGCAACCATTTTTAACTCGTTTCTTGAGTGACAAATTTATGTAGGAAACATAGCACACAACTCAAAATATTAAAAAAGTATTGGATACAACCAGACTTGTGAAATAGAAAATTATTCTAGACAACTTAAATCTTCTAAGCGGAAGATCTTAGTTGGGTGTCCACGATTGCAAAGTGAAATATTTATGGAGTTCTCTATCTTCATTTTAACTGAGTTTTTTCATAGAAATTTTATGAAAAATTTTAAACAAAAGAGACGATGAATGAAAATAAGATAAATTAAATAATAAAAAAACTAAAAGTTTTGTCTAAAGTCAAAAACTTTAATCTAAGATTGCAATTAAATAACCTAAAAATTAAAGGCTAAAATTAAAAGAAATTTACATACGAAATAAATATATAAAGAAATAAATTCAAAGAGTAAAAAACATAAAAAAATAATAGAAAAATATTATATTGAATAAAAAAATAAAAGGAAAGAATAAAAATAAAAGAAAAATAATTAATTTAGAAAAACAAAGAGAAAAATTAAACTAAAATTTTAATCCAAAAATAAAAACACAAATTAGGGAATAAAGTAAACAAAGAAAAAGAAAAACAAGGAAAAAAGAAAATGGTAGAATCAAGAAAATTAAATTAAAAAATAAAGTTAATAAAATAAATATGAGAACTTGAATTATCTCCTATTCGTGTAAAAATAAGTGGATCCCATAAGGATACACATCGGGTCATCGGGTCATTTAACTAAATTCAACACTAAAAAAATATTTCTTTTAAGTCATGGATCAGAAGGAGGAAAATTTTCTCATTCAAGATTCATAGCTGATTTTTATCGAGAAACTTCAAGAAAAGCTAAATCTCTATTAAAATCTATTTAAAAGTTTTTCTTCTTCTTATTCATCAATTTTTTCTCATCTAACAAAGATTTTTTTTTTATAAAAATAAAAAGATAATGACTTTCAGAGAAAATTTTCTTTATTGGCTTGTATCTTTTAAATTATAAAATTTAGGGTGGCTTCCCCTTTTTTTTTCACCTCTCTTTACATAATCAGTATAGGCTCTCAAAATAAAAGGAAAAAAATATTAATAGAAAGTATAAAGCTGAAATTAAAAGAAAAAATCTTAAAAAAATTAAAAAAATCTTAATTTATTTTAAATAAACAATGAAAAGTATAAAGCTAAAATTAATTACAAATATTTAATAAAATAATTGAAAATTCGTAATAAAATAAAATCTCCGTATTAGGCTTTTATTTCATTTTATGCATGCAATGCCTTCGCTAAAATAAGTATATATTGAGTTCTCGATTTCCGATTGAGGCGTTTCAAAATGCGTCGGAAAACTAGCTGAAATCCGATTCAATTTCAAGAAGATATCATGCCCTAAAAATGTCTGGATCTTACCCAAAATTTTGTTGCAAGTCAAATAATGTATCAAGCTTCAAAATCTGCTTTAATAAAAATATTTGAGTCTTGTAAATGATAGACCGGACGAAAACTGGATATTACAAATATTTTATAACAATCAAACCTAAGACCTTAGCATTTGATACTAACATGAAACCATTGTACCAAACTAGGAAAAAACCTGAATATCATGGGTATGATAGAGTTCTGTCACTTTGGCAACACATGCTGTAGGCTTTTCCATAATTTTCCTGGAAATCAAACACATATTGGTAAAGTAAGTTTATAAAGAACACTTCTACTGTGTATCCAATTTCTTTTTATTTGATTTAGACACAGGGAAGTTTCCCCAAACACTCGTTAATTTCCTGGTCAAAACCCAAAACTTTTCTGCACTCCAAATCTGAATGTAGATTATTGTCAATAATTTATAAAGAACACTTCAATTAGTCAGCAGATATCCACCATAGTTTTAGTAGAAGGTTGTGTGTTGGAATGTGTAAAGTTAAACTTGATTATGGGGTATTAACCAAGTTAATAAATTGTTCATTCTTTTTTTGCCATCTGCTATACATATTCTCAGAAACTGTATAAAATTTTCCAGGAAAGAAAAACTTGGTTACTGGTGAGCATTCACTGTACAAAACAATAAACTCACTCAAGTAACCTTTGTGATTATACAAATAAAATATAAATCACACCATGGTGAATGAAGGATAGTATGAAAAAAAAGAGCTTTTTTCAGCTGTGGTATTGTCTTCTTTGTTTCTATCTCTCCAGTTCTTGTTTGCACAGTGGACAGCAAGATATAATTCTGAGCCATTGATCCACACACTTTAGGTGAAACATGTGGGAACATGGCAACTGCCTCACTTCTTCTTTGTCTTTGTACTTGGCTAGGCAAATACAGCACTCCTGTCAACAGGACAATATGAACACCATTAACCTCCAAGATAATGCGCAAATTTTTTGACAAATGGAATTCATGTCACTTACTGGATCTTCGTTTGCACAGCTCGGGTTGCAGCCCGAATCGTGATCGAGCTCCGAGCTGGTGTCGATCGCTTTGTATCTCCAACTAGGCAGGCTGGTGATTTGATCATCAGATGCACCTCTATCGGTGGAGCCCATGTTCATGTTGTAGCCTAGGAGGCTGCTAATGAGTGGCACACAACAACATAGTAGGAACAATAGGAATGGGAAAGAGTAGCACAGAGCATTCCAAGCTAGCAATGAGATGCAGAGGACATGAAGGTTCGGAGCTCGGTGGAAGGGTCCGAATCGAGAATCGAACACCCAAACGTTTCCCATCACAAACCATATTGCGAAAAACAGCTCTAGCGATGTCCGGCACTTGTTCATTAAATGTGAGCACCTGAACATACTACATCTCAATTAATTTGGGGTTTCGGCATATATCTTCCAAGTTCCAACTCTAACATGGTATGGTCTAATGAAACATCATCATCATCAAGGTTGAATCAAGTGATAAGATGCTTACCTCGATTCTTCATTCGTCCTCTGTTGCTCGACGTCGGAAAGGCCAAAACCGCCTCCTTGAGTGAATTGAATATGGCGGTAGCGGCCGTGAAGAAGTAACAAACTAAGGACGCAACCGATATCGTACCCGACAATCCATAGTCTCATAGGCCAAACAGGCTTCTCCTCCTTCGAAATGGCCAAAGTGAATGTGGTGATGGTAATTTGAAAAACCAAAGCCAAGAATTCCAGCATCATCCAAGTACTGGAATTGAAAGGATTGGACCCGAGGTCGGACCTCGATCCGTATTGGTAGTGAAAAACTCTTCTCAAGAAGGTAAACCACCTCGCTCTAGACATCCTTATCACCGCCCTTATCAATAGCGACGCAGCACGGGGAGACCTGTTCCGCGAACCTGCAGCAGCCGTTCTATCTTCCCCACCAGGAGGATCCGACGAAACCGAGGCGCTCGAATCACACAACGAATCCGGTTGGAACGAGTAACGGGTATTCATAATTCCAAAAACAAACTCCAATACCTCACTTGGTTTCCAAATAAATTGCTCCTCAGCACAAAAACAAACAAACAAACAAACAAACAAATGGTGTAGTTGAGAAACAAATACCAGAAGGTTTCGTATCTGCAGCTGCTCAAAACCAACAAAGAAACACACAAATACAAATGACTTCAACCCCAAACAAGAGGTGACCCAAGGTGGGTTTTTAAATGAAGAAAATAATGAAAGTAGATATAGGAAGGGATTGAGGAAGGTGAAGTTGGGTTACAGATGGTGACCAAGAATCAACTGAAAAAAATAAAAACCTTTGCTTTGATTCCAAGTGAAAATAAAGAGGGGAAACTTGGAAAGAGGCTAACGCTTGGCCTAACTTCCCTCAGGTTTTGGTGTCTCTAGTAAGCAAAGCTGAACTGCAACTGCTTCTTCAACTGCAAATCTTCTTCCCCTCTTCTTTTAATATATTTCTAGAATTAGGATAAAAACAAAGTATTGTCCAAGCGGTCAGGAGAAATTTTTTAATTCCTTTGTAAAATAAAAAATTTTCACTTATAAAATAATTACATATATATATATATATAATATTTCGAATTATGGAGGGTACTGTTGTGTTGGGAAGTTGGCCACCAAATCCAATTTCCATAATATTTTTATATATAATTAAAATTTATAATGTTACTTAATAAATAAATTATGAGATTAAAACGGATTGAGAAAAAAAAATAAAAACTTCAAACTTGGATTTGAGCAGACAAGAGTGCCTTGTCTGATCGTCCAACCGAGAGAGGACAATGTACACATGATATAATCTTTGTTTATGTGTAATATGATTGATACTAGATTCATGGAAGGGAGCCCCACTGGTGAATTTGACCACTTTTATTTTATTTTTATTGTTTAATATCATTTTTCCATCTAATTAATATTCTTCAAATCAATGTCAACTTAAGCTTGGAATTTAAACTTGTTGCACCTTCCAAATGACCACATCTGAGTAGGTAAGTGTCTCCTTTTATATGTTTTTCTCCCATTTTATTAATTTAAATGGTCGATTCATTAGGTTAGATCATGGTTTTTGAATTTAAATTATTTAATATGATTAATTTAACTACTTTAAAATAATGTTATTTAATCCATATAATTAGTATTGTGAACTATTGCAGTTAAAATGTTTGTTTGTATTGTAAAAACTTAACCAAACTGTTAGGGCCGAGCTAGGGGTTGACAGAGGTCATGTTCCTTAAAAGGGTAAAGTCTTAATTTTAGTCCTTATCAAATTTTTAATGATGTGGCATACAGTACAAATGTTAATTGACGTTTTTTATTTAAAAAAACGTCATTTTGATTAAAATTGAATCTATAAAAGCTAAAATACTTTTAAAATGGAAATTAGAATGACTATTCTCTTTTAAGAGAATAATTGTAGCCGCGTCTCCTTCAATAATGACATTATATCAACTTTTCTGGACCACCATTTTAAGACCTGTTGTGAATGCATAAGCCTCAACAGACAACAATGTCAGGGTTAAGGCAATCGTCCCACCAACGTGCATGGCTTGCAACCACTTGCCCAAATTGCTCACGAGCTAGCACCCCGTTGACCGTCTCGTCTGTAGTTGCAACAAAAGCTTTGTTGACATTGATTTTAATCAATTAAATATATTAAAAATATTATATTAATAATATGTGTTGAGTGTCAGTCAACTAATATTTTTCATCGAACAAGAGTTATTTAACGAAAAATTAAAACGTTAAGAGCTAAATATTATATTAAAACGTTATTATATTAAAATGTTTAAAGTTGAACAAATAATAAAGAGATTACATTGGGCTTTCAATATTTAGACATTAACCTTAACACATTTACCCATAGGCATCAAGGCTTATGGGCTTTTAATTCTCATACAGTCCGTGTCTGTTAATGACGTATGCATTCTTGATTTATAGTTTTCTATAATTGAACATGTACGTATGTGATAAGGAATCGATCAAACAACTCTTTTAATTATATAATTTTACGGTACGATAATTTAATTTAAGATTAAAAAATGAAAAAAATGTGGGCGACTGAAAATATGATTAAAAAAACATAACATTTGAAGTTGTTAATATGTGTTCAACTTAAAATGTTATGTTTTTTTTAATTAAAGTTTTAGTTACGTTTATTTCCATAATTTTTTTGGCTTAAATTAAATTGTTGTTTCTTAGATTTTCCTTCTAATTAGAGATAGAAAAAATCAATCGATTTTAATTTGAATTAATTTTATAAAGTTGTGAAAAATTCAATTTGTCTAACCTCGTCCGATCGTCACCTTCACTCTCAACTCAAACACTGGCTTTACTTGTAATTACAAGGTAATATTAGTTTGAAATTCTCTTAATCAATTGATAATAAACACACACTATTCTTACAAACGTAACTATTTGAACCTGATACCTCTAAAAAAATAACACTCATTTAATCATCGAAGTCGCTTGAATTCATGTTTAGATATAGACGACAAAGAATGTACTGTTTTTTCTTTATCTTCCTCAGCAAATTGCCAAACACAAGGATGAAGAGAGAACATAAACAATTGCCATTTGTTTCTCGAGTAAAGATTATCAATTCCCTAGGGCCGATAATAATTATTATTATGGATTGACAAAGAATTGTGCTGTAAAATTGTTGGAAACCAGTGGTGCTATTGTACATGACCTCTCTCCACTGGAAGCAAACCTGTTGAAGGAGATGGTGTTCTTCACTTCTTCTAGTCCTTTTTCTTCGGTTCTTCGAGAACAAATTCAGCATGCAGATCTTTCAAAGCAATCACGACCGTCGTGATCAACGGTCCCATAATCGCTCCCTGTCGAAAGGGGACACCCTTTTCAAAGTTCCAACAACATATGCATACATGAACGTCACATTACGAGCCATTTTTGAAAGATGGAAGTTACCTCAACTGCCGAAGGGAACAATGTCATTCCGCCGATGATGCTAAGCCCCGTAAGATACGCACTGTAACCGGGTATGCTCTTGAATTTCAGTGGCACCGTAATCCATAAGCAAAATGTGAACAATGGAGAAGGTGACGGCTAGTACGTATCGACTTTCGAGCAGTAGCTCTATAGCTGCAGGGATCGTTGCGAACCAAGGCGGAAAGATTGGCAGCGAGGGGCTGATGAAAGCAAGCACTGTCGACATGTACACGAAGTGGATTTTGCATAGTCTAAATAGAAGCCATGTAAGACATCCTTGAAAGAAGGCAATCTCAGCTGTTGCCAATAGCACGCCGGATATAGCATCATCGAGAACTTCAACGCATCTAATCCGGGCCGATTTCGATATTGGAATCATCAACATGACTTGCTCTGTTACTCCACCAGATTCTGATGTGATGAGGTAATATAGAACCCAAAAGAACACCATCAACTGAGATACAAATACAAAGTTGAAGATCTCAGTAGCTCCATAGATGATGGAATTGCGGATGGTGAACATGATTTTCGCACCTCCGCCTAAAACCGACGCACTGCTCGCCAACACCCGTTGCGAAACATCCGCCCCTTTAACAACAAACCCTTTAGCCTTCTCCACAAAATCCTCCCGAGTGATTATCAATTCTCTGAAAATCGAATCGACTTCAATGTAAATTAGTCCCCATTCACGATCTCTAACCCTCTTCTTCAAATTCAAAAGCTTCTCCACATAAGGAGACAGGGTCAGCAAGGCCGTCGAATGCATCGATGAACTAGTGGTCGAAGTTATGACGAAATGCTTAATTCCGGTCACAAACTCGGTCAGATTATACTGCATTGCCAAACTATCCATCTGCTCAGTAACCGTTAGATAGAATTGTGTAGTGTACTTATCCACCATTCCAGGAACATCATTCTCTTCCATCCATTTCTTAATACCCATCCTCTCAGCATAGTTACTCTCTTCCACATGAGCTTTCACCGAAATAACGGCTTCTTTTCCCTCGACGCCGATCTTATACGAGAAAAACGTCGGTCCGGTTACGAATCCCACGATCATACCGATTATGAGTCAGATAGCCACGATAGTGTTCAACCTTCTCAATAACCCACCAGTGAAATAAGCGCTAATTGCACTTCTCCTGAAACTGCTACTCCTAAACGATGAAACAGCAGACATTGTGTAAACTATGTTCTTAGAACTAATAAAAAAAAAACCAACACGATTATCCCCAATGATCCGACACCGCCGATTGTCTCGTTGGCAATCACGAACACAGAAAAAGCTACTAACCGCCGGACTAACATCCGAAATCCACTTCTGGCACGCCTTGAAAGAGTAGATTTTGGTGTTTTAAGGAACATCCTCAAACAAACATCCTTCATATCAACGACTGTACCAATAAAAGCCTTAAAGACAGCAACAGGGACAGCAAGAACAGTTTCAGTGAGGCCGAATCGGAATGGTTCACTCCAAAACCCAACAAGGGTCTCTTGTATACCTCTCAAAGGAATCGAACACAAGATTGCCCACTGGATTGGTTTACTCTTGCAAGAGCTTGCAAATCGCATACAAAATGAATATGGTGAAGGCGAGGCCAGGATGAGCCATGGCTATGTAAAGGGCCAAACGTACCTGGGGATCACCGGAGAGGATGTTTATGTGATATGGGTCAGTGGGGTTTTGCCCCTGGGGTGGCGCGTGGGGTTGGTTCGGAGGCGCGTCGTTGTTCTTCAGTGCTGGGGAAGGCTTCCTTATCGATGCAGATCGGAACATGTCTTGCCACGGAAGTGCAGTTGAGCTTGTTTTCGGTTTTGGTTCACTTGAATATGGAACCAACTCCATTTTCAAGAACAGGCTTTCCCCCTGAAAGATCAAGTCTTTCTGCCGAGGACAGAGACTAGGAACCAAACAAGAACTGACAATGAAGCAACCGACAGATGAAGAACATAAGAGAGATTGGTGTCAGTGATTTTTGGACTACGATGGATTCAGGTTCCAGGGAGGATTTGAATTTTGAAGGACTTTGTGCTTGTGGGGATGCACACACACATATATCTATACACACACATACATACAGGAACCAAAACTGCAATTCACATAGGATTTATTCACGACCTGAATTTGCAATTATTCTGCATCTGCCCTGCCCAGTGCCCAGTTCTAACTTCTAACTGAAGTCTTACTTTCCTTGTTTATAGCAAATTAAGGGGAAAAAATGGTTAGATTTCTTATTTCAGAAAAGTGGGTGATTGTTTCCTTGATAAAAAAAATGTTTAATGGTTATAAATAAATATGATTAGACCATTCAATATTCAACACGGGTTTATGTAAATAATTGCTTTCATTTTCGTAAGCAATGATCCAAGTGTATAATTTTATTAGAAAAAATGTGAACAATATAATAATATTGAAGGAAGATTTAGACTAGTATGGAACAGTAAACGAAGATGGTGGAGCCATCAATGGCGGGGCCAGGGCGGAACGTAAGAGGGCATATGGGTGCCATGCCCCCCCAAAATTGAAAAATTATAGTTTAGTCTCTTAAATTTTAAAAAAATTAATTTGTCCGCACAAAAATTTTAAAAGTTCAGATAAAACTTTATTTTTTTGAATATTCTTAATTCCCTCCCATAATTTTTAAAAATCTCATTAAGACTCTCAATTTTCAAAAAATTTAGTTATACCCAAGTTTTTTTCCGAAAAGAAAGTAAATTGAACCCTTCAAAAAAATTGAAAATTTTAATTTAAACCCCTAAATTTTTAAAGTTTTAAGTTTACCCGCTCAAATTCTATAGAAAAGTTCCGCCACTGGGCGGGGCATGTATCAGATTGTCCTTTTCAAGCTTGTACTGATTCCTCCAGCTTACTAGAAATGTTTAAGATAAATTAACTATTTGGTCACTCATCTATTACTTAATTTATGTTTTGGTCATCTAACAATTTAAAAATATCATATCTAATGTTATATTTTGGTTATGTTTTGATCATCCGCCATTAATTTTTTATGTTAATCTAACGTTTCATCATAAGATAATGTCACATTAGTATTAAAAATAATTTTAAATGTCACATTAGTATCATTGTTATTTTTTTAGCAATGGGTGATTAAAACAAAATAAAAATATAATGTTATGTTATGTATGATTTAAAAAAATAATTAATTAACCAAAACAGAAACTATTTAATATGTGGATGACTAAATAAATAATTTATCCAAAATTTTATTGGTGTTTGCCTCATCATTAAAACTCATTAATAATAAATTGTATAATAATATTAATTAATCTAAATAATTAATTTTGTTGAATCTATCAATCGACCTTAAGTGATAAAAAATTATGTTGATCTTCTAAAAGTCATAGGTTTGAGTAGTTGTGCGGTATGGGTTCGTTGTCAATAGAATAAAAAAATCCAAATAGATACTTCTTTATAATCATATTTACTATTAAAAAATAATTAATTTTGTTAATTATTTTAACTAAAATATTGATTTAAATTTGTTTTTAAAGTCATTGACTCAACGTAATAAATAATGTCAGCATGATGAATTGCAAGTGATTTTTTTTTTGAAAAAAATATTAATAATTCAGATCAACTAATGATATAACTATAAAAAAAATCTAAATCATATAAATTAAAGTGTAACAAGGTCCTTTCATATAACCTGTCTGTCTCGATAATTTAATTTATATAGTAATGCATAATTATGAAAATGATGAACTATATATAGGATTATATATCATGGTGTCTCTATAGCCGCTCCTGTAATTTTCCCCATTAATAATGAACAATAAGTTGCTGAAATCCAATAAAATTTGATCCTGCTTATTGAACATCACCAATGTGGCCGAGAGTACTTAACGCTCATACATGCACGTAAAGATTGACTATTTCCTTGTAATCTGCAATTAAAACAAATCAAAACCATGCATATTTCACCGTCAAAAATCAACCCAAAAAAAACATGTACCTACTAAAACAGAAAGATCCCAATATTGTCTTGTCAGTTGTCTACCACCATTGTTGCCCTATGCATGTAAGAAATTCGACATGTGGCATCATCATGTTGCCATGTTTCACTGCTCTATCCGTTTGCCTTAACAGTTATTTACAGGGTTTCAGTGCATGCGTGCTCACACCAATCCAATATCTTCATCATTTTAAATTTTCAATTTTTTCAGTAACTAACTTTAACAGGACACTTGTTTCATTGTCAATCTAAAACCAGTTTTCTCCGTATACTTCGAATCTTCATTTCATCTTCTTCTTTTTCCCCCCCTGATAATGTGTGATTCAATCTCTGTGTCGAAATGGGGTGGTTTGATTTTGTATTATTAGGCGCAGATGGCAGAAAGGTTTTCAAAAGGAAAGAAAGCGATGCAGGCGAAGCAGGTTTGTCTGCGAAATCCTTAAAAAAAGAACCTCCATTGTCATATTCATGTCTTTCCTTCTTCATAGACATGTTTTTTTTTAATGATCTGTAAATTGTTCGTGTTTCAACATCAATGTCATTGTCGATGGGGGTGTCTGTCTGTGTATGTTTTGATCTCCACCATTTTGATTTATGCACACCCCTAGTGTTGTTGATTGTTGTTTTCGCTTTTCAGTGTTTTGGAATAAGGAATTTCTCTTGTTCGTGAGGATTTAAATTGTGTGGTTCAAGAAAGCAATGAATGTTTCACTTCCCCTAAATGGACTTAAAGGTATCTTATCTGTTTCTGCAAATAGTAATTTGCCTCGCCTAGCCTAATAGGACGGAACGAAAGATTTTACGTTAGATGGCAAACTGATAAAATTTTAGTGCGCGAAAATAGATTATCAATGACTTGGTGGTGACATTGTTTGTTGGATTACTTTAGCTCTCAAAAGTTCCATTTTTGTTTTTTCCAGGTAGAGCATTGGAAGAGCTCAGGAGTTCCCTCTACAATGAGCTTAGAACTTCAGAAGGAGCCAAGCGGCAACAGCAGCGATTTTGTGGTCCCGTGGTGGCTATGTCCTTCAATTTCTTGGTTTCTGTTGGGATTATACTGACCAACAAATTTGTTAGTAGTCTCTTTAATCTTGTTTAGTGCAGATGGTTTACGACACCGATGATAGATAAGTGTCTCGATTAGTCTGTATGTTATGTTCCATTGCAGGTGATGGGGAGAGTTGGATTCAATTTCCCCATTTTCCTAACTTTTATACATTACTCCATAGCGTGGATCTTCCTAGCATTTTTCAAGACAATGTCGTTGCTTCCGGTTTCGCCTCCCTCGAAAACTACGCCTTTCTCCTCCCTGTTCTCTTTGGGAGCTATAATGGCTTTTGCCTCTGGCCTTGCCAATACCAGCCTAAAGTTTAACAGGTCTGCTTTTGCCTCACTTGCCTGGTGAAATAATAATAACCAATTCTTCACGGTTTAGCTTATGTTGCAGTGTTGGTTTCTACCAAATGGCGAAAATCGCAGTCACTCCGACCATTGTTCTAGCAGATTTCATTCTCTCCGGGAAATCCATTTCGTTGAAAAAGGTGTTAACAGGCTCTTGGAAAGCAGTCCTTCAGTTTATTTTCTTTTTCTCTGGTTTCCTCATCCAGTTATCATGGTGTTGCAGGTTTTGGCACTAGCAGTTGTCTCCGCAGGCGTAGCGGTAGCCACCGTAACAGATTTAGAGTTCAATGCTTTCGGTGCTTGTATCGCCGTTGCATGGATAATCCCTAGTGCCATAAACAAAATTCTCTGGTCTAACTTACAACAACAAGCCAACTGGACTGCCCTCGCGTAAGTCGTCTTTCTTTTCTCCCGTCACTACGACCGAGATTAAATACAAGTTCGGAATGCAGGCTAATGTGGAAGACAACCCCAATCACAGTACTATTTTTACTAGCCTTGATGCCATGGTTGGATCCACCAGGAGTGTTGTTATTCAAATGGGATGTAGACAACTCAACAGCGGTTCTCATATCGGCTTTACTCGGGTTCCTCTTACAATGGTCTGGTGCTCTGGCTCTAGGGTTAGTAGTATAACTATCATTCATCACTTTCTTCAGGCAGCATTATCGATGTTTTCGCGTTTTTCGGACTCGATTAATGTTTTTCTCATTGCAGAGCAACATCTGCAACCTCTCATGTGGTCCTGGGGCAATTCAAGACATGTGTGATTCTTGTGGGGGGATATATACTTTTCGATTCCGACCCGGGGCTTGTTAGCCTGTGTGGAGCTGTTGCTGCTTTGTGTGGAATGTCAGTTTATACATCACTCAACTTGAAAGACTTAAATCAAAGTTCAGGCAAGCAGCTCCCAATGCAAACTTCCCCACGAAAGTCTAAAACCAGTGAAAATGGCAGTGAAGGCTCAACAGTAACAAATGCTACTGGTGCTGTGTAAACTTATAGGAACAATAACAACCATTGCTGTTATAATTTTATACAATTTCACATTGTATAAACAAGGAAACAATGACTAAAAACAAGTTTAGAATCTCTTATTTTTGTTTTGTTTCATTTTCCAATTTACTCGATCATATAGTTTCAAATAACCGATGCATTCATGGAAAATAACATTGATATGATAATCAGTGAATTACATAAAGAAACTAGAATTAACTAACTCGTGCCAGATTTCGACCTTGTTACATTGTCGTAAGATGTGACCGGTTCAGTAATTCGAGTTCCAATCTGTCTGTGCTAGTTGAGGTTGATGATAAGCATCGGTTGGGGACCGACAGGTTCCAACAGCTGCAGCCAAGGAGACTGTTGTTGCAGGCTATTAACATTGGAAGGAGCAGGCCATTGTTTGTGGTTACTGGTAAAGTCCAGCAATGGCACCATGAGCAGCCTGTCCAGTCTTGTTCATGCTCGTGTTAAGACACGTGGTGATGTGTTTCTTTTCGGACATTATCACTTTTAGGTTTTATCAGAATTATTTAAGCAAAATGTTTCTGAATTTTTGGAAACTGTCAACGCTCCAATTATTCACCCAACTTCTAAAAGCAACGAAGAACAACATTTAATAGACATAGCCCTTAAACTTTTAATTCCAAACAACAATAATCTTGACATCATCCACTGTGAGGTTGAACATTAAAAAGAAAAACTAATGACTCCTGTGCATATTCTAAACTATAACCTAATGAGCAGTGCCATTACTATTACAGGTATGTAGAAAATAAAATCCTATAAACGCAAGAGTTTCAAACAGTAGGGCAACCTTCAGACATGACTCCAGGGAATGTGGGACAATGCGCCAAGTCGCAGTGATCGGTGCCTTCGAGACCCCACCATTCGGACCGGTGATGTCGTAGGATTGAAGGGTGAAGTAAAGGACTACGGCCAAGAGAGCAACGCCAGCATCCAATGCAGCTGATAAGAAATATGTATGCTTTGCCCACCATCTCTTGTACCTACTGTAAACATACCAGTTGAAGAAGAGTCCAACGGTTCCCCAACAAATGTAGTTCAAGGCTTTAGCTGGTGGCATGTTCATTGTTGCACCGAGGATCATTGGCATGTGTATTAGTTTGATCCATTTCTTCTCTGGGAATATGCGCGATGGCAACCATACCGGAACAGGGGCAAGCAGGCCTATGAGGAAAAACCAGTTCATCTCTTTGTAGTTCCCGTATTTAGTGAACATTCGGAGAGGACCTACGACACCCCAAATGATTGAAGCATTGTAAAATACATCATCACCGGGGCATGTCCATGGACTTCCTTCGGGCAACGAAGCAGGGTCACATATGTTTTGGATACTGGATAGAAGCCACCATGCTGTTCCGAAGTAGCAAGATGATGCAACTATGGTTCCAACAAGCTGGCAAAGCAGAAAAGGCAAATTAGGAGGCGATGTTAATATGAAGTTCATATATGAACAGAGAGCAACGAATGAAATTACTGTACAACAAACATCTATTTTGGAGGAATCTTCATGTAATGGCCTAATTTAAAGTCTGAAAGCAACATTAGAGCTTGCACCATACTGATATAGCCATAGGTCCTGAAAGAAACATTGGCCAGAGGCTTGCCAGGATACAAATACCCGATGACCAATTCGGTAATCACATTCAACCCCACTGCCTGCACGTAAATGTAAGACCATGGTTAGAGAATTCATAATGAAACCAATGTTGGAATCCGACGCATTTCTTTTGAGAACGAATCATACCATGTTCGTTGTGGCTTGAATGATCCCAACAGGCAAGGTGAAAAACAGTGCAATTAAGCAGGCTAGTAGAACTCCCCACCAAGGGAGCTGCGGTTCTTTGCCGAAACCTTCGCAGGCTAAGATGGAAAGCCCCATAACTGTAACCAAGATTACAATAAACCACCATTGGGGGACTGCTTCATAGTTCTTCATTAGCCTCGTGTGTATATCAGTAAATTTATCTTTTTTTGCATATGTAGTCTTTCTCCACAATTTCCAGATTGATCTACAACACAAAAGCAAAGAAATCGAATTACTGAAACAAATAACGTATCGATAAGACAACTGTATGTTGCTGAAGTTACTTACTTTCCCTCAAATAGGAAGACATGGGAAATGGTGGCCGAGAGGGTTGCAAAGCTCAATCCATACAGGAAAGCAAATGCAACACTCAGATAGAGTTTGCTGTAACTGTTGTATTCGGTAAGTTTGATGTCAAACGTTTTCTGATTCAGAATTCTAGAAATGTTGTAAGTCTGGCCAGTGGCATCGAAAGTATGAGAAGAAATCAAGGGAAATTTTCTAGCTTCATATAGGTTGGACCAGTAAGCAATGGGGATAAGTACATAGAGAAACAAGAAGAACCCGACCATTATGTTACATATGGCAAATAAGGGTGTGGCAAGAGGACTTCCCAAGAAGGATACAACAGTGGCCCAGTCAAGACCGAACGAGCCAATGCCATAGCCATTTAGGACGGATCTAATCCTTCCAGATCAAACAAACAAAGGATAAAGCCGATATCGATTGAAAGAAGTAGCCTGGTACTATGTAGTAAGCAAAGCTTGATATGAAAACCATGATGAAAAATTGTTGCCTAGTATGTCCACCTTTTGGTCTCTTTTCCTTCTCATGTAATGTCCTGCAATTTACATCGACATATTTTAAAATTTCCAATTATTTAACAAAGAAACTTGGCCTATAATTGTCTGTTGAAGTACCTGAACAAAGAAACTTGGACCAAGGAGATTGGCCACCACATGTAAGGTGAGTCAACCAGGACTTTCCTGAACAGACCGGCCCAACCATATCCAAGCAACTGAGTTTCATCAAGAAAGAAACAAAAACAGTGTTCTTTTGGCGTCATTTTCATGGATCATAGCTAATGATAATGAGAATGAAATCGAATTTAAGGTACCTGTGTAGTTTGTGCTAGCAACATGGCTGCAACTGGGTGCAATGATCTGTGATAAAAGGCCTTAACAATGGTGATGATATTCACTGCATAAACACCTCCTGCTCCACAGTTGACAAATATGGTTATCAGCACATGTTCTTTCTTGGTGAATGGCCCCGGATTTAACGAGAAAGACCATGGCGTGAATGGGACTCGGATTTCCGTTTTTGGCAGAGTTGCAGCCATTAGCTTCCCTAAAGGGAGAACAACGATCTGGGCCGATATCGACGAGATCGAGAGCTGATTTTGACGATAAGCAAAGAATTGGTTCACAAAGGATAAAACTCAACAAGATAGAGGACCAAGAACCCATGTACGAAACGTCAAAGTTGATTCTGTTGGATCATCCGTAATCGGAACAGTTAGCCTAACTTGCTCGATGGGACTGTCATTCACTTCATCTTCTGCAAAAGGCAGAAAAATACCAAAAGAATTCATTAGACACCACTGCAGTTCATAACATTCCAGCATTTGCAAAGCGCACACACACACATACATACATACATTAAAAGAGATTGCCTTCTACATCGGTGGCAGCTTGAATTTTCTCCCTGGAGGTTTCCACCTCCATTGCCGCCATTCCTCTCTAGCAAGATCCAAAAGCAATACATCAAGACTTATATATATATATATATATACACACACACACACAAAACACACACATATATACTCACCATTACTACCTATTTTAAGCAAATATTCTTCCTTTTTACGACTCTTACGTTACATGTTGCAATATTATAATTTTATTTGCATTTTTCACAATACAGAAATTACATAACTTCATCAACAAGTGTTTGAAGAGTTCTCTAATTTCTCCATGAATTCTGGAAAGACTGAAAATTTTATATTATTTTTTTTTACAATCTATAAATAACAATAGTAATAAACAATTTAATATTGAATTTTGCATATAGTCAAGACACAAACGATGGATATTAACATAAAACCGACATGAAAAACACTAAAAGAAAAATCAAAATGCTTCAAGAACAAACAAATAAAATACAAATAAAGGAAAATCATGACTTAGAGGGTCGGAGTTGATTGGAATTGTGAACCTTGGATTATCATCATCCATTGCTTCTGCAGATATGATGATGAACAGACACAAAGATTATACCTTTGATTCAGACTTGGTTGGATTATAAAGATTTGTCATTAATTTATGGATGGTGTTTTTGTTTTAAGTTGGGTAAGATTAGTTGTTTACAGCAACTATGTTTCCATATTAGTTTTATGTTACAAAGGTAACTGCACAGAGACTTAATACTGTAAAGATTCTTTCTATCCAAAATACACCATAATAATTATCCATCCCCAATTCTAAGGGTAAAAAGATAGCATTTTAAAACTGTATCTAACTGTCATTTAAATTTTCACTTTTTAGTGTCTCCCCCATAATTTTTTTTAATTCAAAACAGTAGTTTGGATTGATTAGGTTCATCGGTTTTAAATTTTTAAAAATATTTTTATATAATAATTTAAATTTTCACTAACCTATATTAGATAAAAGTAGGAGGGACGGTATTCAATTACACCTAATGTAAAATTTTTAGTTTTTCACCTCTTTAGAACAGTTTAGTTAGAGAAACCAAAGGTTGAGATTAATAATAAAAAATGAGAAGATATTCACTACGAAAAAAACCAAGGAATTAATATCAGCCTTCGATTTCTATTCATCCAACGATTCTAAAAATGTGTAAAACTTTAGTTTTACAATTGGTGTAAGTGAATCTTAACCCAAAATGGAATTTGACTCGATTTATATTAAATATATTTAAATAACAATAAATCGAAATCAATTCAACTTCAGTAATTATACTATGTTAATAACAGAAAATCTAATCAGATATGACTAGTTTCATAGAAATCATGCAATATCACTAATATTAATTCAAAAAAAATAAAATCTTATTAATTATTAAGTAATTAATATATTAAAAAGGCAATATTAAAGTTTAGGTGTTGTTTGATAAATTTAAAAAAAATGTTGTAAATTTTAATATTACAAATTAAGTTTTGGATTTAAGTTATAAAATATATTTAGTATATTAGTATTAAATATAACTAAATCATTTAATAAATATAAATTTTA